AAATTAAAGCTCTGATTAAATTTGAGTGGTGGTCACTTCTGCAAGGACCAAAAGGAGTTTCCTCATACTCATTCTCGGTTTTTAGCTTCATATCCTCACACAGAATGTCATGATACATTTAATTCAAAAAAATGTATCTTTCTCTTTTAACATCTAGGACAAAAACTTAAACTTTTATTTTTTGCTGTCATCAAATATATCCCCTCAATGATTCTACACATTTAGTTCATATAGGACAATAACAACCAATAATGAAAATTATAATCTCAAATACATTCACTTTGATCTAAAAATAAAATAGCAACAAAGAAATCACAAAACTTATAGTTCTTAAAAGACTTAAGGTTATTTTACTCCTATGTTAAGGGGATAAGTTTTCTGCAACAATGACAATCTCAAAAACTGGAAGAAGCCATTCCCTTTCCACAAAGCTTTTCAAAAAGTTACAATTACTGTAATATACTTTAATGACAAATGATGTTTTAAATAATATTGCATTGCTTTATAGAGAATATAAACATATTTGTGTACATCAACACCACCACTATAAATGACATCATAGCTGATATTGTGTCTTCATTTTGTATTTTCCAGCTGCTGGTTTCAGAAAATTACCACAGGAGTTCTCCTCTTCATGCAGAGCATACAGTAATTTGCAAATTCAAGCAAGGATGAAAATGTGATTGAAATATAGAATATTTTTCTCATGAGACATATTACTGCATTACAATTATTACTAGAATACTTTCAGAGCTCCCTTCTCTGATGCTCATACTTTTCAGAGAATTGTTCTCTGTTTAGAAACACAGGTACTCTAAGGATATGTTTGGCTTCAAATATGTCTGTTCGCCTTGGCACTGAAGAAATATAAAACACAAACCAAGTTTTATCTATTTACATATAATGGCTGTTTGGAACTCTCTCTCACATGCCCAAAGAACTATAATACTGCCTAATATTTCTCCAATTATATTGTATTTGAAGTAGTTTTACTGTTCATAACAGAAAATGTTCCGGTGTATTTCTATTAACGCATGAAGCTCTTACAGTTTATTGATTGCAGTCAAAAGGTTTCTCTCTTAACGCTGACCAAAGTGTGTTAAATTATTTATATCAAATGAAAACTGATAAGAAAAGACCTTGAAAACATCATTGCTAAGTTCAGTGTTTGGGAGTAGTTACAGACGTCTGACCACAGAAAACTCCATAGAATAGGGCGAGGGTGGGCAAAACTTTTTGGTGGGGGTCTACTCCAAGATTCTGGAAAGAGGTCGAGAGCCACACTTTCCTGTTGAGAGGGTATGGGTCTATGATTGAGGTTGGGTTCATAAGGGTGCACTGAGGAGAGGACAGTGGTGCAGAAGACAGTGTAAGCTCTGAGAGGGAGTTTTGGTGAAGGAGAGGGCTGTTACCTGAGTCAGGGGACTGGGGTGTAGGGTCAGGGAGGAAGTATGGGTGCAAGAGAGGATTCTGGCCTAGGGTAGGGATGTAGGAGGGGTTAAGGTCTGGGAGGGAGCTGTGACCTGGGGCAGGGGTTGCAGAGGGTTTGGATGGTGATCTGGGGGAGGGAGTTAGGGTGTGGAAGGGACAGGTGTACCAGAGGCAGGCTTTAGCTGGGAGGCACTTATCTAAGCACCTCCTGGCCAGCAGCCCAGAAGCATCCCCAGGGCAGGTTGGGCTCCCTACCTGCTGCAGCCCCATATCACTTAAAATTGCTGGTTGTTCCCTCCAAATGGTTCTTAGTTCAGGGAGGGCAGAGGGGCTTGTACTACCTCCATCCCCCAGACCAATCTCTCAACTCCTATTGGTTGTTTCCAGCTAATAGGAGGTGAGAGAATGACTAGGGTCAGTTCCTATTGGCTGGCTGTTTTCAGCCAATAAAAGCTAAGGATTGGGCTGGGGGCAGAGAGATCACACAAAGCCTCCCCCTTGCCACGCCCTCTGCTAAAAACAGAGTCTGCTATGTGCCTGACGGTTCCAGCAGGGTGGTCCACGGGCTGGATCCTGTGGCTTGGAGGGCTGGATCCGGCCCATGAGATGTATCTTGCCCACCCCTGGAATTGGGAGACACTATCAGCCATAGCCAACAATGAAAATGGGAGCCTCTTGCTAACTCCAATCCGGCATTTAGTTATCAAAATGCTAAGGAATAACATTTTTATATCTAGTAGCAATAACATAGGAACTTTACTCTGTATAATTCTCATGTAAGATGGACATGTTCAGAATGGTTGTCTGGTGAAGCATTTTGCCTCAGCTCTTACCTGTAGACATCTCAAGGTACCACATGAATGCAGGAAGTTTTTCAATTTACAAAACAATGCAACATTGGCCCTAATTACAGAAACATAAGGAAAACATTCTCAGTGTGTCAATTTCAAATTATTTATTCTAGATTTTCATTTGTTTTCTCCTACCTGGCCCATCCCAGTCATCGGTTTCCACAATGAGTTGTCCTGGTTTCTCTGACTGTGCATCACCGTCTGATTCTGTTGTTTCCTGGCTGCCCTCTTCATCACCTGAAGAGAAGAAATACATAACATTTAGAAAATTTCCATAACACTCAGTTAGAATATTCATAAAAAGGCATATACTATTTGGAATGATTTAAAGTCTCTAACAATGCAGGGAAACAGCCAAACAGTGACAGCTTTCACATAAATAATTTCAAAAGTATAAACATTGTTTCTGAAAAATGAGTATTTTTATATAAAATACAGTTTTTCAATTTTAATAAACAAACTATTACAAATAGTTGCAGTATTTGAAAGCAGCCACACAGGGCAGACAATTATTCTCAATCCTTCTCTTTTTATCCATGTCGTTCCTATCAATATTAACCTCTTACAGAAATTCTTCGACAATATAACTATTGAACCTTCTCAGCTAGGAGTATTAGAGTAGCTGTTAGTCACCCTATAATGCATTTTGCAATCAGTTAAATCACCAAAGTATTTTAACAATGAGCAGTTCAGAAATGACAGATCTACTTTCTTGTTGACTGCTTATCAGAGAATAGATATCATATATGTTTTCCAGGTGCTTCCTATAGTTAGGGTACCGTCACAGAAGCCGCTCATGAAAGATAAGGTCATAAAAGAGATGAAAAATGTGTGAGCTTCATACACTCGTGGTTTTATCATCAGACAAGATAGCTTTAGGTAAAGGACTGTACTAGTCATAAACATCAAAATGCAGCTCATACTACAGAGAGGACATTAAAAGTTTGGAATTTAGTTCATTCTCATTCTGTCTTGTAGCATAAATGTAAACCTAAACTGTTAACATCCTTATAGAGCTATTTAGAATGAAACATCACTTACCAATTATAATAATTCAATTTAGAAAAAATCGCCATGAATCCTAACAACATTCAGCATTGTTTTTAAAAAAACATCTCTGATACAGATTTAGGCTCCAATTTTAAAAAGTACAGAAGCTATACGTGACTTTGTATTAGTCTCACTGATGCCAATGAGGATTAGTCACTTGCTTAAAATTATACACACACTTAAATGTTTTGTTGAACTAGAAACTACAGACCACGTTTTCAGCTTTTGTACATCTACATAGCCAACAGGACTACCTCAGTACATCTCTGTTGATGATCTGGCCCTTCAAATCCAAAGGAAGCAGCTTACTCAAGGAAAATTGTATCTCTTTTCTGGGATCCCTACAGAGTGACCTCAGATACTTTCAAGGGAAGCACACCTAAGCTGAAATAATGTGCAGATTTAAAGTGAACTTATTGCTAAATTTTGACAGTATATGATTATCCTTAAGTACATGTCATCTAAAGTGGAGCCCCTTATAAAATAATTTTAAAATATAACTTTCTGTAAGCACTTTAAAATAACAAAAATTAAAAGCAAAACCACTCTGCTGCTGGTAGTCATATAAGTTTTCATCAGATAAAAAACATGTATATTACATCAATATAATTTATAATCCATTTGTTGTATGAAAATGCTGAGCTTCAGAATAAAGCTATCAAAATCAATTGAGAATTGTGTTTTCAAAGCTCACCATAACAGGCATCATTTGGTTTGGTGACCAGGTAAATAAGACTACATCCCTACCTGCTGCAGCCCCATATCACTTAAAATTGCTGGTTGTTCCCTCCAAATGGTTCTTAGTTCAGGGAGGGCAGAGGGGCTTGTACTACCTCCATCCCCCAGACCAATCTCTCAACTCCTATTGGTTGTTTCCAGCTAATAGGAGGTGAGAGAATGACGCTTTTGGGGGGGTTTTTCCCAGCCAATAGGAGCTGAGGATTGGCCTCGGGGTGGGGAGATCACATATAGCCTCCCTCTCCTTCCAGAGCAGATAGTCACATGGAACAGCCCTCTGCTAAAAACAGAGTCTGCTATGTGCCTGACGGTTCCAGCAGGGTGGTCCACGGGCTGGATCCTGTGGCTTGGAGGGCTGGATCCGGCCCATGAGATGTATCTTGCCCACCCCTGGAATTGGGAGACACTATCAGCCATAGCCAACAATGAAAATGGGAGCCTCTTGCTAACTCCAATCCGGCATTTAGTTATCAAAATGCTAAGGAATAACATTTTTATATCTAGTAGCAATAACATAGGAACTTTACTCTGTATAATTCTCATGTAAGATGGACATGTTCAGAATGGTTGTCTGGTGAAGCATTTTGCCTCAGCTCTTACCTGTAGACATCTCAAGGTACCACATGAATGCAGGAAGTTTTTCAATTTACAAAACAATGCAACATTGGCCCTAATTACAGAAACATAAGGAAAACATTCTCAGTGTGTCAATTTCAAATTATTTATTCTAGATTTTCATTTGTTTTCTCCTACCTGGCCCATCCCAGTCATCGGTTTCCACAATGAGTTGTCCTGGTTTCTCTGACTGTGCATCACCGTCTGATTCTGTTGTTTCCTGGCTGCCCTCTTCATCACCTGAAGAGAAGAAATACATAACATTTAGAAAATTTCCATAACACTCAGTTAGAATATTCATAAAAAGGCATATACTATTTGGAATGATTTAAAGTCTCTAACAATGCAGGGAAACAGCCAAACAGTGACAGCTTTCACATAAATAATTTCAAAAGTATAAACATTGTTTCTGAAAAATGAGTATTTTTATATAAAATACAGTTTTTCAATTTTAATAAACAAACTATTACAAATAGTTGCAGTATTTGAAAGCAGCCACACAGGGCAGACAATTATTCTCAATCCTTCTCTTTTTATCCATGTCGTTCCTATCAATATTAACCTCTTACAGAAATTCTTCGACAATATAACTATTGAACCTTCTCAGCTAGGAGTATTAGAGTAGCTGTTAGTCACCCTATAATGCATTTTGCAATCAGTTAAATCACCAAAGTATTTTAACAATGAGCAGTTCAGAAATGACAGATCTACTTTCTTGTTGACTGCTTATCAGAGAATAGATATCATATATGTTTTCCAGGTGCTTCCTATAGTTAGGGTACCGTCACAGAAGCCGCTCATGAAAGATAAGGTCATAAAAGAGATGAAAAATGTGTGAGCTTCATACACTCGTGGTTTTATCATCAGACAAGATAGCTTTAGGTAAAGGACTGTACTAGTCATAAACATCAAAATGCAGCTCATACTACAGAGAGGACATTAAAAGTTTGGAATTTAGTTCATTCTCATTCTGTCTTGTAGCATAAATGTAAACCTAAACTGTTAACATCCTTATAGAGCTATTTAGAATGAAACATCACTTACCAATTATAATAATTCAATTTAGAAAAAATCGCCATGAATCCTAACAACATTCAGCATTGTTTTTAAAAAAACATCTCTGATACAGATTTAGGCTCCAATTTTAAAAAGTACAGAAGCTATACGTGACTTTGTATTAGTCTCACTGATGCCAATGAGGATTAGTCACTTGCTTAAAATTATACACACACTTAAATGTTTTGTTGAACTAGAAACTACAGACCACGTTTTCAGCTTTTGTACATCTACATAGCCAACAGGACTACCTCAGTACATCTCTGTTGATGATCTGGCCCTTCAAATCCAAAGGAAGCAGCTTACTCAAGGAAAATTGTATCTCTTTTCTGGGATCCCTACAGAGTGACCTCAGATACTTTCAAGGGAAGCACACCTAAGCTGAAATAATGTGCAGATTTAAAGTGAACTTATTGCTAAATTTTGACAGTATATGATTATCCTTAAGTACATGTCATCTAAAGTGGAGCCCCTTATAAAATAATTTTAAAATATAACTTTCTGTAAGCACTTTAAAATAACAAAAATTAAAAGCAAAACCACTCTGCTGCTGGTAGTCATATAAGTTTTCATCAGATAAAAAACATGTATATTACATCAATATAATTTATAATCCATTTGTTGTATGAAAATGCTGAGCTTCAGAATAAAGCTATCAAAATCAATTGAGAATTGTGTTTTCAAAGCTCACCATAACAGGCATCATTTGGTTTGGTGACCAGGTAAATAAGACTACAATGGCTATGAAGTTATGCTATGACATTTTCTTACAAGCCTTGCAAGAAGGAAAAATATAAGACAAGTCTGTTTCCCAGTGAAGCTGCCATGGGAGTAAGGCACTGGGATAATTAAGAATGTACAACTATCAGGGCCAAACTTTGCTATGACTTATACTGATATAAGACAGGAGTATCAACAGTAATGTAAAACTAAAGTGTGAACAGATTCTGGCCCTCAATATAGAACAGATTATTTGACTAGCTACATCTACATGAATGAGCCACGCTCTTCTACACAGTTCAATATGTTGAATTCTATCACAGCATTTTGCTTTACAGGAACCAGTTATGTTATTGCTTTCTACACTCTTCTTAACATTCAGTTTGGATATTGCTGATCAGATGTCAGTATTTAACCGGTACTGAATGACACCGCAGCACCCCTGGTGGCTGAGCTATATGACTTTGTCTTCACCCACAACTATTACTAATTAGGGGATACTATATACCTTCAAGTCAGCAGTGCTGCTATGGGAACCCACATGATCCCACAATATCTGAACATTTTTATGGATGACCTCAACAACATTTCCTCAGCTCTTGTCTCCTAGTACCTTTCTTCTACTTATGCTACATTAACAATATCTTCATCACATAGAACCCAGGGGAAGGAGACACTTGAAGAATTTCACAGGGATTTAAACAACTTCCACCCACCATCAACCTTAACCTGGAGCAGTCCACACAAGAGATCCAATTCCTTGCCACTGCAGTACAATTAAATAATGGCCACGTTACTACTACCTTATACCGGTAACCTACTGAGCATTATTCTTACCTATATACTTCTACCTTCCATCCAGGACACATCACATGATCCATAGCTTTTTTAACAGCCAGGCCCTAAGATACAACTTTGCTCCAATCCCAATGACGAACATCTACAAGATCTTAAATACCCACCTGGGGAAGTGAAGAAACAGACTGACAGAGCCTGATGAGTGCCCAGGAATTTGCTTCTTCAACACAGACCCAACAAAGAATATAACAGAACACCACTAATAATCATCTACAGCCCCCATCTCAAACACCTCCAGCACATCATTGACAATCTACAACGTACACCGGAAAACGATCCCACACTCTCACAGGCCTTCAGACTCAGGCTGATCCTCGCCTACAGAAAACCCCCTAACATGAAACAAAATCTTTCCAGCAGCCACACATCAAACCTCAGACACACTCCCCCAGGATCCTACCTGTAATAAACCCTTTTGCCAACTTTCACCACATATCTATACAAGTGATACCACTACAGGACCTAACCACAGAAGCCACCACATCAGAGGCAGACAACTGCACATTCTCTAATGTGCTATATGCAATCAAGTGCCAACAATGCCTCTCTGACATGTATATTGACCAAACTAGACAGTCTCTATGACATAGGATTAATGGACAAAGAACGGATATTATAAATGATAACACAGAAAGCATTTTAGCCTGTATGGACACTCATTAATGGACTTAAATTAGCCACTCTTCCACAAAATAATTTCACAAGCCAACTATAGAGAAAGAGTGCATATGCAAATTGACCTTCATATGCAAGTTTGACACTGTCTACCTTGACCTGACTTAGGAATGTAAAAGAGTAGTTGAGTCTACTACTCGCATTCCCCCACCTTGCTGCCTCTATATCAGAGATAGCAAAGGGGCATGGAGAGCAGGAGCCAGTCCTGGGGGAAGCCGGCTTAAAAGCCAGTTCCCCCCAGCACTGTCTCCGCAGTGGGGATGACAGGAGAGGCAGAGGCGTGGTGGCGCTGAGGCTCTGCCTTTTAAATGTAGTAAGAGCCGCCTGAGTCTTACTACATTTAAAAGGCAGAGACACAGTGTGGGACCCTGTGTGAGCTACATTTAAAAGGCACAGCCACAGCAGGGTTAGCTGCCCCCTGGCTCCTACTACATTTAAACTGCAAAGCTGCAGCAGGGATAGTAAGCACCATCAACTAATCAAGTCGTTGATGGAAATTCCACTCACTTTTGATTAGCTGATTCTCCGCAATTGAACACCCCTAGCCTGAACAAAGACTTGAACTGGTTAACATATAAAATCAGCTTTCCTTACATTCAACTCCCTACTGACATCAAAAGCTACGTATGGGATACTTCCAGGCCACTCAATTAGCCACTGGGGCTACACACTGGGACTACAATTAACAGGTACTTTTTTTCCCTCCCTCTCCCTTCTTATTCTGAGGGTCCCCCTTTTTTTCTCCACTCAAAATCATCTTAGCTGAAGAAGTAGGTTTTGCCCATGAAAGCTCACGATACTGTCTATAGATTTCTGTTAGTCTCTGGGGGTACGTCTAAACTACATGCCTCCGTCGATGGAGGCATGTAGATTTGTGTATTCAAAAAAGGGAAATGAAGCGGCGATTTAAATAATTGATGCTTCATTTAAATTTACATGGCTGCTGCGCTGAGCCGACAACAGCTGATCAGCTGTTTGTCGGCTCAGCGCGCTAGTCTGGACGCTCCCCTGCCGACATCAAAGCCCTTTGTCGGCAGCCCCGGTAAACCTCATCCCACAAGGAATAACGGGGCTGCCGACAAAGGGCTTTGATGTCGGCAGGGGAGTGTCCAGACTAGCACACTGAGCGGACAAACAGCTGATCAGCTGATTGTCGGCTCAGCGCAGCAGCCATGTAAACAGCCCCGGTAAACCTCATTCCACGAGGAATAACGGGGCTGCCGACAAAGGGCTTTGGTGTCGACAGGGGGAACGTCCAGACTAGCGCGTGAGCCAACAAACAGCTAATCAGCTGTTTGTCGACTCAGCGCGGCAGCCATGTAAATTTAAATGAAGAGGCGATTATTTAAATCGCCGCTTCATTTCCCTTTGCCTACGACCCTCATCTACATGGCTCCGTCGATGGAGCCATGTAGTCTAGACCCAGCCTAAGGGTACGTCTAGATTACAAGCCTCTTTCAAAAGAGGCTTTTTCGAAAGAATCTTTTGAAAAAGCCTCTTTCAAAAGAGAGCGTCTAGACTACAGCCAGTACTTTGGAAAAACTGAACCACTTTTTCGAAAAAGAATATCCAAGCAGTCTGGATGATCTCTTTTGAAAAAGCACAATTCACATTCAATAATGCCTTTTTTCCAAGGAGCACATTCGAAAAAAGGCATTATTCTTTGTAAAATGAGGTTTTCCGTAATCAAAAAAAACTGCCGCATTCTTTCGATTTACTTTTGAGAGAACATGGCGGTAGTCTAGACGCAAGGGAAGTTTTTTCGAAAAAAGGCCACTTTTTCCTAAAAAACCCTATAGTCTAGACAAACCCTAAGATGCCACAGGACTACTCATAGTTTTGAAAGTTACAAACGAAAACAGCTATTGTTGTGAGTCATTTAGGATAACTTCATACTCCTGGTTCCTTGGACAATCTCACAATCAGTTTCT